AAAGGGATGGCTAATAAAACATCTTCAAAAGTAGCGTAGAGCTTGGGTGATGAGGCTTTTAAATCCTGCAGCAGAAAGCACTCCTACATGCTTGTCATTGAGAAATTATTTGTTCTTGAACTGTATTGCTCTGCAGCTGACAGCAAAATTACCCAAATGGAGACTGTCCCTCACATGCTATTATAATGAGGAAGTAATTGGTGTTCTGTGATGTATCCATAAAATGCCCAGGTGAACCAAAGCTGGCAAGACTTACATCTCTGCTCTAAAAATCAAACAGAGAAATCAACACTGTCATATACACATGTTTAATAGAATGGATGTCTTCAAATCTCTTGAAAAAAATTACCTTTAAAAAATACCAAATTTCTGAAATTTTAATTAGGAAGAACTGATACAGGAGGAAAAGGAATACATTTGATTTGCCACAGGTAGAAAATATATGTGAAAGGAAAAATATTTTTATTTTTTATCTTAAGCCTTGCAAAATTTTCAACAATTGGATAATCTTTTAAGTGCTTTCTCCCATAATCTCTTCTTAACTATTTGCTCTGCAGGCAAATGACAGTTACTTTTGTGAATCAGCTAGTGGAGTGTCAGGAGTGCCATAATCTGTACCACCAGGACTGCCATAAACCTCAGGTGACAGACAAGGAAGTGAATGATCCTCGGCTTGTCTGGTACTGTGCCCGCTGTACCAGGCAGATGAAGAGAATGGTAGGAGTCAGTTTTTTGTCTCATGTGAGCACTGTTTGAATACAGCAGGCTATTTCTACTGTGTGAGAATATTTCCTGGGTTAGACAAGTCTTAGGAAGCATGTTAGAGAACCATTTTTGTCAGCAGTGCTTCCCTTGCTGCAGCTGTGGTTTTTAATGTAGCATCCCAAAGAGTATTCTGTAATGCACTTCTTAAACAAAGCTTTTTAAAAATCAGGTGGCTGAAGAAAAGTGAAATAGGATTGTGTCCTGCTTGGCAAGCAGAATTTAAAACCTCTTTTTTTTTTTTTTCAGGTGATACTCAGCTTGTAGTTAATAGCTCTACAGTTTAAGTTTTCTTCTGAGCTTTGGATGTGAATGGTTCTTTTGCTGTAGGACAAGACTGCCAATTCCAGTTTGACATATTGAATGTTCTCAGGGTCAAAAATTAGCTGAGGGTAGCACATTCTAGTTAAAAAAAAATTTTTACAAAAGCCTTTATTTTGATTTATCTGCATGACTGAACAGTATCCTACCAGATTCCCACTCATCTCCTTATGAGAAAGGAACATAAGAGCTTTGGGTGCATGGAACATTAGTGACTTTAGTTCTGATGTTTCAAAATCACACCCACAATACAGAAAAATACAGCAGAAAATGTGTTTTGAAACTGTTCTTTGATAACTGAGCAAGTGTTATCTGTTGAAATGGCTCCACTTAGAAACAAGGAAAGAAGGCAGAATAAGATCCTGGCCTAGGATGTACCAACACTGACTGAAATATATGATTATTGGGATGATCTTCAGGCCTTTGAACTCAGAGGTGTGTTTGCTAGAGGTCAGTTCCTGCACAGGGTAGCCAGTTTAGCCATGGAGCAGTTGCCTTCAGTGTGACCTTTCCTTTTTTTTTGTTTTGGCCATGAATTCTGCCATTTTGACTGCCATTTCTTAGCAGGCTCTTGCAGCCTACCTCCCAGTGCTGCTGGACTGTGTCCTTGCCTTCTGCAAGCTCACCTGTCTGTGCCTTGTTCTGTAAAGGCCCAGTGCTTTCCTGCTCTCCAGGCATCAACACTGCCACTCTTTCCACACTGAAATAGCAAGCTCTGTTCAGGATGCTTTTTGGCTGGGCCCTGGCCTCAGTACCATACCCAGCACATCTCCACATCCCCTGTTGCCTCCTTTCTCAGGGACCATTAAACCTGAGATTGTAAATGCTAGATTGCAATCTTAAAATGCTCATACTTTTTGTTAACAGTCAAAACAGTCCATGTTATATGGCCCTTAACTTATTCAGGGTGTTTTTATCCTACCACTTACACAGGCTCAGAAGACACAAAAACCACCTCAAAAACCAGCTCCTGCAGTGGTTTCAGTTGCACCAGCTTTGAAGGATCCATTGGTCAAGAAACCAGAAATCAAGTTAAAACCTGAGACCCCACCAGCTTTTCTGGCATTCAAGAGAACAGAAGTCAAGGTAATGTAGTTTAAATTTACCAGAGGAAGAGTTGGTTGCCCTGCACAGATTAATAGGGTTTTTTCCCAATTAGACCAATCTTTTCACATAAGATCCATAATTGAAAATAGTCATCAGTAGCAGGGCATCGTGGGTTTGCATGAACACTGAAAGAATGGGTGGAAAAAACCTCACTTCATGTGTGGATGCCCCATCCCTGGAGGTGTTCCAGATCAGGCTGGGTGGGGCTCTGAACAACCTGGTCTGGGGGAAGGCATCCCTGCCTATGACAGGGAGATTGGAACTAGATGATTTCAAAATCCTTTCCACAACCTGAACCATTCTGTCATTTGTGGATCATATAAAATGTGTCATTTGCTCTCTGTAGCCAAGTAACTTATGTGTATTTTGACACTTGGAAGGTTTTTTCTCATGGCAATAGTGGCACTGACAGTGCTGAGTTTACACTTGAATTTGATGATCTTGAAGGTCTTTTCTAACCTAGATGGTTCTGTGATTCCATTGTAGTGAAAGTGTTGCTGAGTCTGTGAGATTTAATTTGGGAGCTTAAATATGGGCTTTCCTGCCCAAACCATTCTGTGATTCTGTTCTTTGATTTTTTGTTGCTTCATGTTTCTGGTTTTCCTAGTTAAAATATTGTCAAAAAGTCAAGATGGTCAAAGGTGGTAAACCAGAAGTAGTGTAATAAATAACAGAGTAGTCTCATAAAGCATGACCCTTTCTTAGGAAAACACAGTTTTATCTGAAAATCAAAGCAATTATTAATGTGCTCAAAGCTCTGCCTGGATGCAAGCCATCATGAATACAAGGATGGGTATTGCTCTAGTACTCATGCTTGTGAATGGCTTTTTTCACCTCAGCAGAGTTATTTATGTGCCTAAACAGGTTGTAAGACTTGGGGCCTGATTTCTTCCATCAACTTTATTGTTTAGAAGTTGTCTGGGTATACCATAAAAGGAGTATTACTTGAGTAGAGAGGTTTAGTTTTTGTTTTGACTCTGCCATTTGGTCTAACTGATTTAAATCAACATATCATCCTCACCCAAAGCCTGAGGATTGTAGGGTTTAAGGTGTGGGAAGTCAGAGCAGATAGCACAGTGCTTCACAGGCAAAGAGAACCCATGTTTGCAGAAAGTTTGTCTTTTGCAGTACCTGAATGGGAAAAGACTATAGGATAGTATTTTTTTTTTTTTAATTCAAAGAAAGGAAACAGTTTAGATACTGCTACTTGGACAGTAAGACTGTAATAAATGCAATACTTCGTTGCTCAGTGTCTGATTTTTGTCTGAGCTTCTGTCAGCTTGTTGAAAAGTGACACCTGGTAACAACAGTAAGCAAATTAAAAAGCAGCCAAGCCACCACCTTTTATATAGTTCACAAATTTGGGCTTTTATTGTTTGTGGAGGGATCCCAGTGCTGTGTGGTAGTCTGCTAAGTGTACAGAAGAGAGGGGAGAAGGGATACTATATTCTGTGTGCCTGGGAGATTGAAAGTTGGCTGCATCTGGCATCCTTTCCTGTTCTTGTTAGTACTTTTCAGCTGTGGTGACCAGTGATGAAATATTGTGCACTGGGTGTTCCTGGGAAGAGAACCGAATCAGAGGCTCAGTGTGTTCCTGCTGTGATGTGTTACACAAATAGATGCTGCTATAATAAGAATGCTTATTTATTTTAGACCTCAGCAGCAGTTTCGGGGAACTCTGCCAGCACAAGCGTTTCCTCTTCAGCAACGAGTGGCCTTACAGGATGGGCTGCATTTGCAGCCAAAACCTCCTCTGCCAACCCATCCACTGCCAAGCTGGGATCGACGGCACAGAGCGCCGGCGGGAAGCCTGCGGCTTCTTCCAATAACCAGAAACCCGTGGGTTTGTCAGGGCTGGCGACTTCCAAGACGGGACTGGGGGCCAAAATAGCTTCTGCCAACAACAGCGCGAACCCCGCGCAGCTGAAGCCTCCCCCGCCGCTGACCCTGGGCAAGACGACGCTGAGCCGCTCGGTGAGCAGCGACAACGTGAGCAAGGCGGGGCTGCCCAGCCCCAGCGGCGCCGCCCCCGGCACCGGCGGCGCGGCCGGCGGCAGCAACGGCGGCGGCAGCTCCGGCTCCGCGGGCAGCAGCGGCGGCAAGGCCGCAGCCGACACCGGCAGCCAGCCCGCGCCCCTCAAGGGCCCCACCTCGCAGGAGTCCCAGCTCAACGCCATGAAGCGGCTACAAATGGTTAAAAAGAAGGCTGCCCAAAAGAAGCTCAAGAAGTAGGCTGGCTGCTTGCTGATGTTGTTGTGTTCCGGGAGACAGCACCGCCGGTGTTGTTCTTAAAGGAAATCCCGCAGGTACTGGACTGAAGGAGGTTAAATCAGGGAAGCCCAAACCTTGTGTAATACCAAGGGTCAAACCTTAATAATTCCGGTATTCCTTTTGCCTTTCCAAATCTGTGAATTGGATATGTTAGAGGAATTCATTATTACGTGCTCCTGGTTTTGTAGCTCAAAGCACTGAAACTTGAAATTGAAGATGTTGGGTATTTTTTAATATTAAAACCCCCACATTTGTGTAGATACTTAATAAATTGAACTTGCTGAAACCATCATTCTTAAATGTCAATAATAAAATTATTATTAATCTGGGAAAGTCATTGCCACTCTTCTTTCACCCCATATTCCAGTACTTAAAATGCTTCAGATGTTCAATATTGTGCAGAACTTATTGCCTCAAATTATAGAGCTTGTTAGAGGAAAAAATACTTTCATTTCAAAATTTAACTGTTCGACAACAGTATATTTAGATTGAGATTTTTGTTTTGGCAGTTTGCTAAAGAAGAAATTCAAAACTGTCTTCAAGTTTTCTTAAAATGTAGAGAACCATCCTGTATTTGAGAAGTATCAGGTACTCCAGCTCTCCACTGTTACCCCTGATCTGTTCTTCATGGTTTGTGCTCCCTCTCTTCATCCCATCTGCTCCAGGCTGTGTTCAGCTTAGAACTGGCTCAAGGTGGGCGCTGGAAAATGACCTTGAGTCTTGCTCTCTGTGTCTAGCACATGGCAATTTCCCTTCATTCCTTCTGTGATGAGGGGAGCATCTCTAAACATGAAAACACCTTGGACTGTAGGTTTGCATGGCCAGTGTTATTGTCTCCTTATCATACTCTGATTTGACGGGTAACAAGTCACATTAATCTTCCATGATGGCAATTGGTGAGTGCTTTCTCACTCCCCTTATCTTGACCTGTGTCTCTTCCATCTTAGTTTCTGTTCCCCCCCACCCAGCTGAGGGGGGGAGTGAGTGACTGGGGTGAGCACCTGACATCTGTCCATGATCTGTGGTGACACAGACTGGCTTAGGTAGGTGAAAGCAACTGTTTCTCTTTGCCATCCTGTATTTTTAGTGTGTGTGAAGCTTGATATATGTTAGCTATTTCCCATACCTCATTTCCTTTCTCCACAATTAAGATTTAGGCTATAGTTCCTTAAACAGCCAAAGGAATAGTTTAATTTACTCGGGATTGCCTCAGCTGCCTGGAAAATTTGCATATTTTTTCAGCTATTATTTCCTGTGGAGGGAAAAAAAGCAAGGTTTTATCTTTGTAGTGCCTGCAGCTTCCAGGGCTGTGCAAAAATAACAGCATGAGGAGGAGGAATCCAGGACTTTTACTGCTTTTTGATCAGCCCATCCTTCCTCCTTTCCAGCACAGAGGGTTTTTAATGGTAGCATAGTAGGAAAAGACACTGATGCAGTTTCCATTAGCAAACAGAAGGCATATTTTCTTCCTAAGTGTTAATCAGAAGACTGATGCCTACACTAAGAAGTAGTGTGAAGATAGATTCTTTAAATGGCCAAGTGCTCCTATGTGAAGTGTTCATTCCAGTAGTAAAAGCTGCTCCCAGAGGAGTGTTCAAGGTGCTAGGTGCCTGTCTTGCCTCTGAACAGACACAAAGCTTTGCTGGTGAGAGTGCAGGAGCTTACATCTCAACTGTGCCCTTACTTTAGGCAGCACCAATGGGGTGAACACAGGCAGAGGAATGATGCTTGTTCTCAAATTGTGGTAGCTAATGCCATTTAGAATACTCCTGAGGTCTGATTCCAAGTGTACCCTGATGTCTTTGCATGTATAATTCTGGCCTGGATTGACTGTAGGGTCCCTCCATTCAGAATGAAACAAGTGATGCTGTGCTTTTTGTGCCTCTCTTTTCCCTCTAATAAAGCAAAGTGTGGCTGCACTCATCGATAACACTGCATTAGCAAAATCTGCAATACAGTTACAGTTTGCAGCAGCAAAAGACATTCTTCCACTGTAACTTTCCCAGCTTCCTAAATGAAATACAAAGTCATCTTCTGTTGGTATAAAAATGTCAGTTAGGATTGTGATTCTTTGAAGTATTATATCAGAAAGGATTTACAGCACAGACCAGGTCTTTTAAATCGAGTGTTTAGCTTGAATATGTTAGATAGGCACTGCTGAAAAACAGAGAAGATTGAAGGAAACAGTTGCTTTCTGCTTTGATGTTATAGTTAGGATGGAATTAACAACTGTATTTTCAGGAAAGGAGTCTGTTCTACAGGCTTGTTTGACTGAAGTCATGTGTCAGGTTGAGGAATGTAGTGTAGGGCAGAAAGAAGTAATGCCCATCTGAAATTTGAGAAGCATGCCTCCTGTTTAGTAAAAAAACTGGAAAATAGTCCTGTGATTTTTCTATCCCCAAACCAAATTGCTCTGTGATTTACTGTAAAAATAGCTACCTGACTTTCTTAAATGTTTTAGAAATTGGTGTGGTAGTATTTTATTTCCACTTAAATAGGAAGGTTTGTTTCATAGATGCCCAACTTCTGATACCCTCAGTAATGTGAAATTATAGGTTACTCTGGTTCCATGAGTGCTCCTTCTGGCTGGACTGGGGGATGCTGGTGATACCTGTGTCTAAAAATGAAGGTCTAACACAAGGCTCTGTGATTTACAAACTTTTATCTACTACAGCTCATAGTGGTTACAATCTCAGAAGCAGCTGGAAAAGAACAGAGCTATGCTGACAATTGGAACCTTGAAGTGTATTTTTAAACTTTCTTAGTATTTTTGATAGTGTTTTAAAAGTTCTAAAGTATTTATCAATAAGCAAGGATGCACCCTAGAAATGCAGCATTTTATCTGAGGCAACTATTTTGCAGGCAGATCTTGGATAGCATATAAAGCTCTTTGCTTCTGGAAAACATCATGTTTAAAAAAATAAGAAGAAACATCTTTACAAAAATAGATTTTATTATTACAATAATTTAAAAGAAGATTTCTTTTTTTACTACTTCTCAACAAACAATATTGTAATAGGAATTATCAGTAACAGATCTATGGGAACAAGGATTATCATGGCTGTGTTCCTAGTGCAGGTGGTAGGTCCACTTCATCTATCTTCATTTTTAAAAGCTATCTTAAAATGACAGCAAAAGCATACTTGAGTGCTTGAAGGAGGTAATTACTCAGTGAAGCTTCCAAAGATGAGAAGTCAGAAGGAATAATTCTTCAATCTGTGTTTGCATTGAAAAGCTGAGCCCCTGCTGGAAGATCACCCAGCCAAAGGGAAGATGGTGAAGCACAGAGGTGCCAGAGGTCAGAGCCTGGGACTCTGCTGTGTACTGCCTTGCTTATCAATGGCAACATAAAAATATTCCCTGAATGGAGAAGCACTTCAGTTTGAATGGACCCAATCTTGGAAGTAGTTGTACATATTTATTGTCACCACAGCTCAAGTAAAACACACATTGGAACAAATGCAGGATCAATCCAGTAAATTGCAGCCTATCCCTGCTTCAATCAAAATTAATTAGTGTTGTCATTAATGAGAATAAGAAAACTCTTAAAATACTGTAACCTTCCCTATATTAAAAAAAAATGCAGTGGCAAAACCATTGCATATTCTTATGAATTTCTGGAGCCCTAACACAGCTCAGTTTCTGGTATTTAAAGCACTGTCTTAACAAAAGTGTGACTGAGCAAGCCTAATATGAATTGTTGTAAATCCTTAATTTGGAAGGCTTTAGATTCAAGGAGCATATCTTAATTTTCTGTGATTGCTGTTTGCATTCATCTGTTTTAAACGAAAAAAAATAATTTGCTAATATTCATAGTATCAAATGAGAATGGCTGACAATTTGAATTTCTGAAATGGACTAAGCCAATTCACCTGGGTACATAATTACATACTTTTACTGGATCCCAAGTTACAAGGCTACAATAAAGTCGTATAATTATCCCACAATATAAAAATTATTATGGATCCTAATCCTACAGGGATTTCATTTGGCCTACTAGGAATTTCCAGGTCCCCCAGAAATTCAGGTGGTCAACTCCAGTATATTCATCCTTCATTCCTTGTTACTTCAGGATCAGGATACCTATATTTTGGAGAGCAGCATTTGAGTACTCTTTGAGACACCTTCACAGAGTCTGATTCTTCATGGGGAATCTACCTAACACTCAAAATCTGAGCTCTCCTGTGACTCAAGCTGAGTTCTCAGTGCTAAGACTTCAGCAATCTTTTATTTCCTCTTTCCCTTGATTAATTTCACTGTCTGAAATACAAAACTTCATCATTGTGCTTACATGACTCCATTAAGCCTATTAAGTACAATTCAGCCATTTCTAAAATTGTTTCAACTATTGCAAAGCATAGATCTTCTCCAAGTAAAGTATTCTAAATTGTAAGACAGACCTGAAAACTTTCTTGTGTGTATCTTCCCCATAATCTCAAAATATAAGTGCCAAAGCAGTAAAAGGGTAGCAATGAGTCTTTCAGTCCATTCTTCCAAGCTGAAACTCTCTGCACTTTTATTTTCTTCATTTAACTAAAGGTGAATCTTTCCATAAAAGCAGCTAAATCCATTTATTAAGTAATTGATAATCCTTTTTGCTTGTTATGGGAACAGCAAGATTTAAGTGCCTGAGGTGATGTACAATAAGGCAAAATAATGCTCACTGGATAGCAGCAGTACACAGAGATTCACACATCAGATTCTGGATATCTATCTCTGAGAGCTCTAAAACTTTCTCTGTCATATGATTTAATCCAGCACAAATTTCAGGTTTAATCTCTGTGATCCCCTGCTGCATTCAGTCTCTGAGCAAGACTGACAACTTTTTCTACCCTTCTATAAAAATAATCTGAAAATTGAGGACATTAAAGAAAATGAAACCAGGTTCATTAGCATAGCAGAAACTATTGTGTGCAGCAACTGCCCTAACTTTTCTTATCCTTTCTTTGCTGACAGGTTATTTTCTATTACATCTCACTAAGCATTTTGAATAATTTCATCTTCAAACCCCACTCTTCAAACTATGGGAAGTAGAAACTCAGACAAAAGCTTTAGAACAATTTCTGTTTACCCTCGATCAGCAACACTATCTCCTTTCCCACCCTTGACTGTAACAGTGTTGCCATTTTTGTCATCAGCACAAGCAATTATGCAAACCAGAAAACACCTGACAGGAGTGTACTTTCAGTTACACCATTTGCAGCAGGCACAATCACATATTTGTTTCCTTTTTGCAGTGCTTTGCACCAGGTCTTTGCTAACCACTAGAGGACCTCAGCATTGCTGTGGTGAAACACCTTGTGTTGAGCACTCAGATACCCATGAGAATCACAAGGAGGGGTTTGCTGTTTGCTGTCACCATTCAGTCTGGCTTAAGTGCTGGGCACCAGCCTGATCTAGGAATCACTGCAGTCAGTGAGCCTAAAGAAACTTATTGACTAGATATTATGATCCCTGCATCTGACTTAAGGAATCAGAGAGGCACTAAATATTCATTGAAAGGCACCACTTCACTTTTCTAATTTTTTTTTTTTTTAACCAGTGAATTTCCCAAGACTAATAACACAGATTTCATTTCACTACACAGATCTTGCACTAAAGCAGTTAGTGTGGAGACATATGTGGATTTCAAACTTGGGGCACTTCCATATTGCTACAAACTGTTTCTACCATATGAAGCAGTTGGGTAATTCTTTTGAAAATTATAACTTCTTCATGTCACAGTACCTGTTTTTAGTGTCTCCTCTTTTCCTTCCTGCATTTCCATATTTAACTAAACGTACCTTCTTCCCTGGGACTAGTCACTGGTACCACCACACCTGGTATGTCTTAAATGTTGAAATGTTTCCTTAAAATTAAAGTCCTTTTTCTTTTTCCAATCCAATAATCTCCACTGAGAAAAAATGTTCTTCACAAAAGCAGCTGAGGATAAAAACAGACAATCAAAAAAGCTCAAGTTTTAAGATGTGTCTGTGTGCACTGAGATAACAGTTCAGGAACAACTCAGCCTACAGTATTCCTGATGACTGAATTTGTCCTTTTTCAAGGCTAATTCTCTTCATCTTGAATATTATTTGCTAAATATCATGGAAGAAAAATGTAATTTCATCTGTGATTTGTACTTGTAGGTTGAGTCTTGATGCACGATGCTTTGACAAAAGAGAAAATTATGGGGTAATAGAAAAGCAAGCTCTTCAGCACGTTAATCAGAATCAGTCTTCCTGTTAAATGTTTCCTCCCTCAGGTCTTGACAAGGTGATGGCTTTTGGAGAATGGAGGTTCTCAGTATCATCTGTGTGCTGGATACCATGGCTTCTGTCAATCACTTGTGAGCTTGCTTTGCTTGCAGCAAACCTAACAGATGATTATTCTGTCTGCTTCAGAGAGCCTGGCTCAACAGGCCCTTCCCCTCCTAAGCATATGTCATCTTCCCTAGATAATTAGATGGTACATATCCCATCTGACCTTTTGCTTCAGCTAGCCACCATTCCTTATTGCCACTCAGGTCGGAAAAGCGAAGTATCCTCACCCTCTGGTACTCCTGAAGGCTGAGTTCTTGATCATTTCTAGCTTGAAATGCAAAAACAGCATAGAAGATCTGAAAAAGGAAAGCCACATAAACAAAAATCAGAATTGAAAAATGTAGCCACATGTTACTGTATAGCTGTGTATCAGTAGCAGTTCTGTATACAGAAATGTAATAACATGTACAAACCAGCATTCAACTACGTGGCCTGCAATTTATAGACAGGGCCAAAATAAAAAGTAAAATTGTAGCATCTGGGGAGTTCTGCATGACAAGCAAACCAATCTCCAAGACCTCATCACCTTACAACACTGGTAAGGTTTTCAGCTCACACCAAGTAGCCATGGATTGCATGAAGAATTTTTCAGCAAGGTTTCCTCAGGGGGAATCACCTCTCCTAAAGCTCCTGTGCTAAAATGTGGCACATGGGTCACTTCTGTGCCTTGCTGATCAGCATTCTTGTCACAGCTTTCTTGTCACCAGTAAGTTGAAAAATCCCCCAAACTGACCTATTTTGCAAGTTCCTGTTCCTTATGAAAACGTTGGGGTGGGATACATGGGGTGGGATAATGCAAGTGTGTTTTCTGCAACACAGGACTGCAATTCACAGTTTAACTGATTCTCTTTTCCTACCTCACAGCTATTTAAGAGCAGAGAATAACGAATTCCTATGACACACTGACAGATTGGTGCCACTCTTTTCTGGTGTGAGAGGAAACCATTTAAATTACTAACAGTGTAATTTTAGATTTTAAATAGGAACAACAAGAAGACAGGCACAGTGTGTATCATACTTACCTGCTGCTCATCCATGCCCTGAAGAGCACCAGTCCCTGTGCCATTAATTGCAGGATTTTCACAGAAGTGGAAAGGTGAGCAGCTCTTACTCCTCTGGTACCCTGGACTGCTTGTGCTGCTGTCAGCAGAGGGCCGTGAAGAGACAAAGAGGCTGATGTCATCAAAATCATCATCACCAAAGCCATTTTCTGCTGCATCCTTCTGTGCTTTGCCTGGATTGTATGGCTTCAGGAAGGAGGAGTACACATACCCTGTGAGGACTAGAAACCAGAATAAAGAGACACAAAATAAATAAACAGCAAAACGCTGCTAAAATAATTTCAAAACCAACCGCTTTATGCAGCTGTCAGCATGACAGAGGCAAACAGATGGGGCCAGAATGAAAGGAAATCAATATCCCAAAGGGAAGCTGTTATTGGGATATTTGTGCAGAGAACTCACTTCCTGTGTCAACAAGCCATCTGCTTGTGCTTCCAAAGGGGTCCTTTTTCTCCACAACAGCCACCACGTCTCCTTCCTGCACATCAATATCGAATTCCTGCACGGCGTTGCACTTGCGCTTAGCCTGGTACAGCGACTCGGTGCTGTTGGTGGCCAGCAGCTTGGACCTGTGCTCCTCTGTCTGCCGTGGGGACTCCAGCTGGAAACAAACCATATTCATCCTCAGTAATGCTGGGGCCATTTCCAGGTAAAAATCTGGATAAAAATGCTGCATGTGGCAACTGACCTGGCATTTTCACACATCAACTTAAGGAGTTACACCTGGACCAAGTCTCCCCTGCGAATGCAGGAAGAACCTGTCCCGTTGCTATATTAACAGGTGAGCAATAAAGGGCAGATTTCAAAGAAATGTAGGAATGTCACTAATTAAAGACCTCTTAGTCTGTCCTCTGCTCTCAAAGAGATGCTGTTCTGTATGTGAACTCTCTCCTGCTTAATTGGTTTTCCGTAGCCATGACCTTTGTATTCCAATGTAATATCACAGAAAAAGCATAATCCAAAAATGGGCTGAGGTGTGCTAAGGCCACATAAAAACTTGCATGATAAGGCATTAGGCAAAAAAAAAATCAGTGGTACCCAAAATGGCTGCTTTTTGTGTGAAATTACCTCTCTAAATGAGGGCAAGATGCCATTACCTGCTGGAAGCATATTCATTTCAGGGTTTGGTTAGAGGGCAGGGACAGGGGTGCTGCACATCAATGGGATCTTCACATACCACAGAAGCAAGAGCACCTGTGCCTTCACTGATGCTGAAAGGAATTCTACAACTGCCCCAGCTTCTCCTGTAAACCTGCACCATAGTCCTTATTTTTCTGTAAATTAAACTCCTAAAATCGCCAGAAACATCTGATGAGATTGGGAACAGAGATTTCCTGGTGGATTTTCTGAATGTTCTGCTGTGGGTGTGTATGTTTGTGCATATATGTGTAAACACCAGTGCACATAACCACAGCTGAGCACAAGGAAAAAAAATTCTGAATTAGAAGACTAAGATGCACTGTAAGAGCATTTAACAAAACAAGTTACCAAAAATATACCTAAGCCTTACCATGTGCTTAAAGGGCTAAGAGCAATTTGAGGTAATTTCAAGTGGATTTTCAAGATATTAACATGAAAAAAGTGAAAAATCTTCAGAGGTTACTGGTCAGTGAAAACTTTACTCCAACAACCTGATTCAGAGTCACAGTGGGGAGACAAAGCCCAAACCTTTAGGTAGCATAAAAATGGATTTTTTTCAACAGTGATCAAAAGAGGATTCTTCATGCACAATTGGGATGTATGGTACTCACCGGAAAAGGAACGGGTTTCTTTTTTTCCAGGCTCAATTTTCCCTCAATAAAGATTGTACTGATGTTTTCTTTTACAAAATTCAGCTTGTGAACCTCCTCTATCAATTGATCATGCACTTCCCAGATGCTTGAGGAGGACAGCTGCAAACACAAATGTGGGTTAGATCTCATGTACAAAATGGGAGGGAGATTGGAGACAGCAGATTTAATTGAATTTGCTGAGTGCTAGGAGTCAGGAAATCTGACAAGTTATGACTATTTTCTGCAGAGCCCATAAGCAGTGCAATCTCTACATATGAGATGTAAAGAGAAGCAAGGTCTTTGCTTAAAGAAAGTCTCTACTAGATGCTATTACATTTAAATGGCATAGAAATTGAAGTTAAATGATTAAAAATATTCTAAACGGTGATGAAAATTAAGAGCCTTGCATTTATGCTACTGAACCACCTGCTTTCACATGCAAATGGGCATCTCAGCAGCTATCAGAGTGGCCAATGTGCTACAAGGTTTGGAGTAGTTCATCCCACAGCTGTGTTTGTGCAACTGAGAGCTGCAAACAGGTTAAAAATTGTTGGGTAACTGAGTTTGTCTGTGGCACTGAATAAGTGATTTTCGTATATGCCTAATACCAAATGGATTTGCTGATGTAAACAGGAAAATAAGAAAAATAAGGTAATTTTGTAGCCAGACCCTCCCAGAATACAATGCCCAGTACAACAGCTTTCAACACATGGAAACATCAAATTACAGGGATGAAATTTCTTCATGCAGAAAAATCCTTAATTTTCCCATTAAACACCATAGCTCTATGGTTTGATCCTGACCTTGTTTTGCTTAATTTTTCAGCTGTCCCTTAGTATAATGTGCTCTGTTCCAGCCTTGATGGAAAAAAAATACTCCAGAATTGCCTTTCTAGAGTGTGTTTCCCAAGCAGCCTTGCTCTGTTCAGGTGAGTGGATTTGTAGGTGTGGAAGGCATTGTTGTAGCTGTGTTTCTCAGGGGGTTCGAGTCCTCCAGGTGAGGCTATTCATTACTGCTGAGAGATATCTGCAGGAGTTTCTGCATCATATTTGGGGTTTAAAGCACCTTGATTTTCATAAACACTATTTCATTGGATCTCCTAACTTGATTTTCTTTTGCAGTCATCTGTGACTCTGCAGTCTAGCAGCAAATGAGGTGTTCATGTACTTTCTTATAATTTCCTGTGTTTTCTGGGCTAGTCAGAGTACATGCTAAGATATGCTAGCAGCTGCCTTCTTTTTGCCTCCCTGTAATACTGTTGCCATTACTGTCACTGCAACAGCAGGAACAGTCCCATTAGGATCATTCTCAATGAAAAACCCATGTCTGACAAGAGTTCAGAACAGAAGTTCCTCAAAACTCACTCCAGGGTGACCTTACTGTGGCCTTCAGTACACAAAGGGGGCCTAGAGGAAAGCTGGAGAGGGGCATTTTACAAGGGCATGTAGTGGCAGGACAAGGGGGATGGCTTTAAACTGAGAGAGGGCAGGTTTATATTGGTTGCTGTGACCCTGGTGAGGCACTGAAATGGCTTCTGCAAGGAAGCTGTGGGTTCCTTATCCCTGGAAGCTTTAAAGGTCAGGTTGGATGGGGCTTTGAGCAACCTGGTCCAGTGGAAAGTGTCCCTGTTAATGGCAGGGGAATTGGAACTAGATGATCTTTAAGATCCCTTCCAACCAAACCACTTTGATTCTAAGAACTTAATCTGTACTGAGCTTGCAAAGGAAAAAAAAAAAAAACAATCTGACTGTGCTCAGCAGAACAAACAAGTCACAAAATCAGTAAATCAGTGTAGCTTTGTAGATATGTGTCCTACATAACTTTAGCCAAAGCATACAGAAAGAAGAAAAGAGAAATTAAACACAGCCACACCTGTTTCTAATGTACTTACTGGAACAGGCACCATGACAGCAGAGTTTGATTGAAGTGCTGCAAACATAATATTCCTGAGGAGGGTGATGAAGCAATGTAGACAGTTCAACACGATCTTTTTGGCTGCTCTGTTGAATACCTGAAGTTCTTCCACTAGCTGTGCATTTAGAGCCTCATATTCTTTCTTTGCCAGCTCCAGCTCTTCTCCAGCTGACCTCTGAATGTAGCTGTTGTAGTCCAACAACTTGTCATAGCGCTTCTGGATGAGCTTCTGGGGGCCTGGAAACAGGGCTTGCAGTGCTGAGAGAGGAGTCAAGACAAGCTTGTCCAGCTGAGCCATCTGGAAAGTACAAACCAAACCTACTCATTACCTTATTCACACAGTCCATCAGATGCCATAAGGGGCTGAGCCTGATGGCAGCCCATCAAGCAATCTGTTAATCACTCTTCACAAAGCTTTGCTGCCAGAGGCAGTTTCAAGCAGGGTCCAGCATGACTTAGAATCTCCTTCATAACAGGAGATGTTCAATTTTTAGATGTTAGTTTTTAAGTTTTCAGCCTCTGCAAATGGCAGTGGTCCCTTGGAGCGTGCAGCCTCAGGTACTGCCCCTAGGGAGCTGCCACTGGGGGAAAACAGCAAGGATTGGTCAAGTGGTCAAATAAAACTGGGATTTCCTTGGCTGGAAGGCCCACATCAATATACACTCTAAAGCCAATGAGGTCTTACTAAGTGGGAGACTTGAATTCTCTCAAAGCTGTTTTTTTTTTTTCCTTTTCCCTCTCCTGGAAACAGCTGTAACTCAATTCCTGTTTAAGCAAACACAAACAATCACTTGATTTGATTAAATTAGGTTATGCTTGTTGGTTTTATCTCTAGTAATCAACAAAATTAGACACCTGGTAAAAAAACCAGTCTTCCTCAGACTTTTCCATTAGTCTCTAATTGTCTCATGGGATTAATATTGCATGAAATAAAATTTATTTTTGTAAGTAATTTGTTCAAATACAGCACAGGCTGGTAGTGAGTGAAATTCATCATCAGATTAAAGCCCTTGGACATTCTGTGTGAATTAAGTTGTTGGGTTGGATGTGAGAATAAAAAAGCAGCTGCCTCTGCATTCTCAAAAACAGCAGAGTTGAGGGCAGATCCATTTTAGCCCCAGAGCTGCTCTCCAAGGCCAAGATGATGTACACTGGCTAAATAGCTCCTATTTTATTTCCACCTGAAAAACTGGGCTGTGTTTAGTGAACCAATTTTTGATGCATTAAGAAAACAATTCTTCCAAACTGCTGGACTTGATTTCTTAAAAAGAGGCTACTGGGAATTTCTGTCCTGAAAATTTTCCAAAAATCTAATGAGAGAGAATTATTGACAAATGCACCTCCACCTCTGAATTTTTCCAGCTTGAGCAGATGTTTGAATAAGCAGCCTATCACATTTTGAAAAGACATTTAAGTACCTTATTAGAGCCAGGCATTAGAGTTCGTTTATTTCTGAAAGCAGAAGGCTAGTAGAAAAACTATTACTATTTTTAAAATTGTTTTATTAATTACTATGGGCTATATTTGGATTTTTCATGGTTTCCCTATATGAAGGATTTGACAGTTCTATGTTAATATCTGGACTTGATGATCTGAGAGGCTATTTTCCAGTTAATAAATCTGAGATTTTTACAGATCTGTGATTCCAGGAGCTAACAGTACATAAGCACAATATCAATCACAAAAGTCACTCAAACTGAAAGTGCTGGTAACAAAAATAGCAAGGCAACAATCTGCTGCTCTTTGCTGAAGTTCAGATGACACAAATACAGAATTATTCAGGTGATACAAATTTAACACAAAGATTTTATTATAAACCCAGGAATTTAGCTTGGCAGGTTTTCTTTCATTCTTCTAAGGAAAATACAATTCATTTATATTGTATTTTATCTTAGTTCCTACATAAATTCAACCAAAATCCCCACTTATCTTTTCCAACAGATTCCTGAGCTGTTTTTTTTTCCTCTTTTCTGTCCTAGTCTTCCTCACATGCAGCTGTTTTCTCAGACATACAGACAGCTGTGTAACAGTGGACATTGCATTTACTTACAAAGTCTTCACACAGATTTGCAGTGTTGGTCTGTTTTTCCGAACAGTCATTGACTTTGTCATCTTTATCTTGCAGGATTTCCTGAAGCTCAATTATATTCTGGGCAGCCAGATGTATAGAATCCTAAATGAAAACATGGTAGGAAGATGAAACTATTACAATCTGTTTTAATATGCTGCATTCACTCATGCAGCTTCTCAACAATACTTCTGGAATCAGAAATATTTTCCATCTCCAACACCTGTGCAGTTGCTGTGCGGTTTCCAGTCATTGTGAGGTTGTTTACTGTGATAATATTTTCCTTTGCTTTGTCTATTTTCAGTGTAAACTATTTAAGAATCAAGCTGTTAATGTTCAACTAAAAGAATTATGCCCTAAACTAATGAATATCCCACTGGAATTCAGCTACTCCTCAGCAAGAAGCCAGCTTACCACGCATCCTCAAAAATCTCTTTTGGGGGACGAAGTAGGACTAAGTGGTGTATTTCAGTTACCCAGAATTTAAATCTCAATGAAGTGTGGATCCATTTGGATAAGGAGCTGTCAGCACCACTGCAAGCAGCAGCCCTCCTTGGCTGAGCTCCCTGGCCTTTCCCTGTTTGCAGAACCAAGCACCATAAGCCCTGGCCAGCTGGCTATTGATCTTGCCTATCTCCCAAACAGCCTCCCTGCCTGCCTAGGGCACTCTTACCCTTGGACAGGCCTCATGCCATCCACAAAGCTGGCAAGTGGTCCAGGGGAGGGGCAGGCTGATAAATCACAGCCCTCAGCTCTGGAGAGGAGGGTTGAAGCACAGACATTTTAGAGAACTCGAGCACTCTGCACATCTAATGCTAACCCTCGTGGGAAAAGGGAAGGAGTCCTACCATCCACAATATGGATTTTAGGATGTTTTAATTCATGTGGCTGCAGCTCTGTTCTTCAATCTTTAATGAGAAAATTGGTTCAATCTCAGTTTGTCCTTCACTGCAGCAGATGGGGGTGACAGCTTCACACAGAGATTGAAAGTCCTGACTGTGCCACCAGACAGAACCTTCTTCTCTGCACCTGTGGGTCTCCATAGAACCTGCCTCTGTCAGGGGGAAAATGCAAAACTGGGGGCTTCAAAACTTATTTGCCATCGGCTCAGTAATGCAGCGGCAGCAAAGCTTATTTTTTTAATATTCTGATGTAGACAGCCCTGCTAATAAATAATTTGGTGTTGCTCAGCCAGCAGAAATGTGTGTCAAACTGGTTATGAACAGGGTTTGTGACCACAGACTGCAGAAAGGCCTGTACCCACCTGGAGATGTTGTGAATAGAGCGAAATGTTCTTCACACACAATTTCACAGTCTTCTCTAGACTTTGAAACAGCTTTTCTTCCTTATCAAAAGTTCCATCTTTCACCTAAAATAGACATTTGCACTGTTATTTTGGCAGCCCAAAGGAGCCTGGCTAACAAAATAAACATCCAGAGCGCTGCTAGAAAAATCCCTGAACTCCTCCCTTTGAAAACAGATCAACCCCTAATTCTCCCAAGCTCCAGCTGTAATTCAAGAAAAGTCAAAACCACTGGGCAACATGGCAGAGAATTCCATTTTTAATCCTTGTGGGAGCAGGGAGTTGCTTTACTACAAGGCCGACAAAACGCTTCATTTTCCTGTGTGCTGTTCCACCTGAGGAAAGGACGGGGGGGAAAGGTGGGATGGGTACTTGGGAGGAGAAGGTGGGATGGGTATTTGGGAGTTAAAGGTGGGGTGGGTATTTCGGAGGAGAAGGTGGGATGGCTATTTGGGAGGAAAAGGTGGGATGGCTATTTGGGAGGAAAAGGTGAGATGGGTATTCTGGAGAAGAAGGCGGGATGGCTATTTGGGAGAAGAAGGTAGGTGGGTATTTGGGAGAAGAAGGCGGGATGGCTACTGCAGAGGAGAAGGCGGGATGGCTATTCCGGAGGAGAAGGCGGGATGGATATTTGGGAGTTAAAGGCGGGATGGCTATTGCAGAGCAGAAGGCGGATGGATATTTGGGAGTGAAAGGCGGGATGGCTATTGCAGAGCAGAAGAAGGGATGGCTATTCCGGAGCGGGGCCGCGGCCGCTCTCCCGCACGCCGGCTGCAGGTGGAGCTGTTATCCCAGAGCTGTTATCCCAGAGCTGTTATCCCAGGGCCGAGCCAGCCTCTCCTCTGGAAACGCCGGCAGCCGCCGATGGCCTCGGGAAACTTCTGAATGCCGCCCTGAAGACGCGGTCAGTTCTGCCCCTCCTTTCCTGCAGGGGCTTCAGAAATCTCAAGTCATGTCTCAGTGTTTTTGCCGTGGGGGTGTCGGCGTGTTTCAAGACGTGAGTCGGGAACTTTCTCAGTCTAATTAAGCAGAAGAGGCGGCTGAATCTCTAACAGATGCATTCTGATACTAAAATGATCCTCAAACGTTTAAAGCTTAATTAGAAACAAAACCAAAAAAAATAAACCAGAAGTTTCTAAAGAAAAAAAAAAAAAAGGGAAAAGAAAAATTACATATCCTCTTAATCAAATTTTATTCCCTTTTTCTCTGATTTTATAGTCTTGCTGGTGTCTGTCACATACTGAATACAAAAATTTCCACTGTATAAATAAATGAACAGAAAAAAATATATGTGAGTGATTTGGGCCAGAGAAAGAGGAGAAACATTGATAAAAACCACACCCGGAAAAAATGGCATGTATCTTGTGAAGTCACATCTAGAAAGGCAAGTGACCTTGTATAATCAGCCATCTCATGCAGTGAGGTGCACTGGATATCACTTTCAAGGTCGTTTGTAATTGATTTTCTTTGAGATTTCGATTTAAGCTTTCCTGAAAATGTTTATCCTGTTAGGTTTTGAATTACAACTTTGAAATTATGAAGGAGGATTTTACTTTTGGCCACCCAACACCCATCAGACTCATCACAGAGTTCTTTTTCTCTGTAGTTTTGAGGGTTCCAGGTCTCTGCACATGTAGAAGCAAACCCTGTGGCCCTTTCCTAATTAGAGGTATTGCTCATCTTCCTTGGTGGATTCCAAACCCCTAATGCTACAACAGGAGCAAGATGGACTGAACATGTTCTCTCAATAATTATTGCCAGGGTATCTGCAAAATGCTGACCTCAGGCTGAGTTTCACAAAACTACCTCTCACTTCCTCTCTGCTGAAGACCAGAAGTTTGAGAAACTCTTGTGTAAAAAAGGAAAAGGTGGAGAACACATTACATTATTTTCTGTTTCAATCACAATGATCTTTCCTGTCCTCTGTGACAGTCAGAAAATGACGTTATAAATTAGGTAGGAAAAAAAGCAGCACCACAAACTCCATTTCCAACACGTTTTGAAAAACACCCTGTGCAAAAGCAGAACTGAAGCTGTCAATGCAAATCTGCAGTTGGATAAGTACCTGAGGTTCTCCCCTTGTCAGTATTTTCAGATGGCTGGTGACCCTCTTGGATTTCTTGCTAATGGAGTGAATATTCAGTCGGGCAAACTTTTCTTTAAGGGTTTCATCATCATCATTCTTCCTATACTTCAGCACTGCAGACAGGGAATTTCATTACATCAATAGTCTGTATTCACAGGACTTTTCACCAGAACAGGCACACAAATATGAAACTATTTGAAAGCAGACACTTTGATGTAATTTGGGGTAATCTCGTGTGAAAATGCTCAAGAGGATGAAAACCCCATTATCAACGGTAACCCTGGGGAAAGCGAAGTTAGGGCTTCAACCTGGCAAATCTGAAAAAATATTGCTATTACTGCATCCTAATTATTATCAGTGTTTGCAACTGCATTACAGACACTATAACATTAATTCTTTCCCTGTTTTCATACTGGAGTTACCAGTCAGGTAACATAGTTGGCTGAGGACAAGGGACATTAAGGCATTGTTACCCTCTTGAAACTCAATGTATTTCACCACTTGTGTGGCACCAGCTAAAATTTATGTAGCGAAATATCTGAGCTGAAATATATCTTGTAATGGCCAGCCCAAACCTACAAAGAACTTTCCGTCCTTTCTTACCTAAATCTTTCCTCCTTTTAAGTTCATTGATGTTCCAGTTAATGGTTCTCATAGTAAAAAGGGCATGTTGTAGTGCCTCGTGGTCAGGGTGAGAAGCAGGAGTTGAGTTCAAGAGCTCCCGGAGTAACAAGGGATATTTCATCAGCCGTTGCACTGGTTTGATCAACAGGGATCCCAGGTCCATTAGATTTGGCTTCCCTCTGTAATTTACACAAAAATAATTGCCACAAAATTAGAAATTCCTTGAATTGCAATTACCACTCAAGTCAAAAAACTTGAGTGGTAATTGCATAAAAAATTGCATAAATAAAAGTAAGATACATCTGTGGGGGAACAGGGGTGTTGTAAACGAAACCCTGCTGTTGCCCCCTCAATGAGAAATACACCCCAGCTCTCTGAATTTTCTGTTTTCAGAACTTAGCAGACATCAGCTCTGAAACCATCCCACTCAGTCTAAAGGTGCATGTGCTATAACTCACACATCACAACACCCAGGAAGGGAGATGTAGGTGGAAGAACAAATAACAGGAAGTTTGAGAAATGCGTGTGAGAGCAGGGCTGTTACATCCTGCTCTGGGCCCTCAGGCTTAAAACTGCAACATTTCCATGCTGTGGGTAACTGGGATGCCTGTTCACAGCACATCCCTTCTCACAATACCCCTGACTTGGCACAGAGACCCTTAAGCTTTACAGCCTTTCACCTGTGGCTTTACTTTGCTGGCTGCCAGTCAGTTATTTCTAATGATGCTTCCAACGGGTACCAAATCTGGCCTGGGAAATGTTGAACACACAGGATATTCACACAGGCTTGATCCAGCCTGCTGGAAGACTCCGTTACGTAAAGGCAAAGCAGGCAGCTGGGCAGGGTGGCAGAAGGGCGAGAGCAGGACAGTCCCAGCTCCCAGCATGGGCTCAGGGATGCTCTGTGGCTCTAGGCTCAATCCCAGCTGGCTGGGCAGGGGCAGCATCCCCAGGCATTCAAGTGGCTCAGGCCATGAAGGACCCCCTGAGCTCTCGAGCCAGCTGAACTCACACTCCAGCCCTGCTCCAGACTTTGCTTACACTCTCCAGGCTGGAATGGGAGAGGCTGTGCGCTTTGTGGGCTGCCACAACAGCCTCAAAGGAAACGGGAAAGGACTGAGCCACACGTACCTTCATCACCTTCCATGTGGGTCTCCCCAGAAACATGGGGTCTCCCCAGAACAGGTAACACCAACCACCAGGTGGCCAAGAGCAGGGCCAGCCACTGCTGAGGCTCCAGCAGCAGGACAGACATGTCCATGGCCTCCCCATGACAGCACACTCCTCAGCAAACCAGGCACAGCTCCAGCACCAGCTACCTGGCACCTCCCCACTGACACTGAGCACGAGCTCCTGGTGACAGTGTGGAGGGCAGTAAGGCAGAGCAAGCTTTCCATTTGCATGCCCAGAAAGGCTCTTTTGGAGCAGAAAAGGTTTTCTGACATTAACTATGCAAGAGTTAAGGGCAGACAAAGAAGGATTTCTGCATATGGAAAGAAGAAATGACACAATGTAGAAGGAAAGTACAAAAAATAGGGAACAGCCACATGGTTTTGCAGGCTGACATCTATTGTTTTGTGCAACAGAAAGCATAAAAGAAAAAAAAACCCCTTCATTCCTACTTTTATATGTGTAAAAAGTACAAGAGCCAATCCTTACTTGCTGACTAATTAACAACAATTTGAATGCCTTTGAGAAGAGACATCTGCATATTTAAACCATCTCTCTCAAACAGGCATTATCTGTAAAAAAGTTCTGCATGAAAAAAATTTAACAGTAGATGCCTTTTAAGGCTTCCTCATGTCCTGAAACATTCTCATCATTTCAATTCCCCTCATTTCCCCTGTATCTTACATTAAATAGAAAGCTGTTTTTCCTTCTTTCAGCTTCTGGCAGCAATAATGAAAAAAAAAATCTTAAATTGTTATTGTTTTCTCTGAAAAGCTCTATGAATGCAAATCTATAAAAGCTGCCTCATGAATGGAAAAATCTTCAAGTGTCTTCTCTTTATATAGTTGCACTTTGGACAGCTGCCCAAGTGATAAACAGCCCTCTGTTCGGTATCTGCATGACACAGTCTTGCAATATGGTGTGAGAGATAGCAGGTTTGTTAGGAGATAATGACTCCCTGGGGCACTAAATGCCACAAAGTTCGACTCATCTAATTCTCCCCAGCAAGATTAGCTGAGATAGCCACTCTCCCTGGACAGTCCCATTTGCAGTGCACCCTGTCAGGACCCAGGGGCTGCTGGGCAGGACATGGCCTTGCCACACCACTCAAGCGGGAGAGTAACACCTTGTGACATCTATTGTGCAGAAAATTAAGTTGGTAATTCATTTGCGATGCTACTTCAGCCTTCCCCCACGTTATTTTGAATTTAGCAAGTACTGTAAGCCACATGTAACTGTACCAATCTCACAGCAAATTATTGCCATAGCACTGCAGCAAATGCAGCTGGCAAAATGCAGTACTGGCAAACTGAGCTCCACGGCACAGCCTCCCTCCTGCCTCCAACAAAACAAAGTCACTAGCACAGACACATTCCCACTTGTTTAAAACGCCCATGGTGGTGAGCCACACAAAGGCAGGGGAGGCAGGATTTACTTTCATTTGCTCTCACTGCAAGGCAGCTTGGTCCAGTGGCAAACATGACAGCCAGCATGGTCCAGCCGGGCTGAGGCTGGCGTGATGAGCAGCTGCCAGTTCTGAGATGGTGAGCAGGAATCAGGCTGCAGCAGGACTTGGGATCTTGGGCTTCATGATCTACTATGCATGCCTTGATTTTAGTACCAGACATGTAGGGCAAATAATTCACTGTGCCATAAGTCTCTCGAGCAAACCCAGGGAACTCACTGAGGCTGCACAGTTGTTAAGCCAAGCAGAATTTAACCTACTGAGCTGCTAGCAAAGGGCAGCACTGTCTGGTATTTATGTAATTGTTTTCTTGATCATGCTTGAATGAAAAGCAGTCTGGGAGCAGCAACATCACAGACCATTTGGGGGGAGTTACGCTGTATTTTCCAGTTCAAGAGTAATCAGATTTTTGGGTGCAGTCCTGCCCAAGGGCTGTTGCAACTCTGCAACCTCTGATTTGCAGGTGATGGGACTTCCTGAGTGCCCTGCCTGTGAGGCAGCCAAGCTCAGGGACTTTCATATCTGTCAGGGCTACACAAGGCAGAACAGCCAGTCTTGGGTGATTTCAGCATGTGTTGCTGCCTCACATGATCATACTGCGACCTTCTGGATATTTTGTATCTCTTGGAGCCACACTCCTTGCGGAACAGGGGTACACAGGAATATCCCTTATCAAAACAAACTGCAGAGAAACCATTTCCAAGCACAAAAGCTTAAAACCTCCAAAAGTAGAGTTTCAACATGCAAGTCTTTCAAAGTGTATTTTATGCAGATCATAGTTACAACATGCAATTAACTGACTGATTAACAAATTCCCTGACTTGACTTGAGTTCTGTTCCTCTCCTGCCAGTATAGACCACACTTGCTCCTCCTTTCTCCTAACAGTTCCTCTGGGGTTGTAATCTTTCTCTTCAGTTCAGACAGCCCCTCCTCTGACCTCTCACTGCAGGTTGCTACAGGCATTGCTGCATTTCAATGCAGTCAACATGCTGGATGTCCAGAAGCTGCAGCTGTGATAAATTCTCCTTTACAGCTTTTCGAAGATGTCACATTTGGCACAGAAATCCCTTAACCACAACTCATCTGTGGCTGGGGGACTTTCCTGGCTAAGTTGCAATGAGCTTGTTCTTTTCCAATATTCTTCCAGCCACTGTTGGGGGAAGATCCTAAAGAAGGCTTCTCACATAGGGCTACTGAAGGGGTTGTCAGCTTAGAAACAGCTTTACCTGCAGGCCTGCCTGAATTGTAGCAGGAAATTGGATTTCAAAGACTGACACTATGCTGTTGACAAACACTCAGAGCATTCTGCATATGTCCTGGAAAATTCTCCAGGTTATGCTGACACAAAAGGCTTGTGTTCTTAAAATTACTACCTGTACAGCTCTAAACATACTAAAGATAAATCAAAGGTACTATAAAGATTATTTTACATGTGAAAAAAGGCATAGTACTTACTCTTCTTCATATCTCTTTCTGCAAAAGAGAAGAAAACAAAACATGCATTAGATTCCTCCTAAAAGGATTTATACACACCAGGAGATTCTCAGATACACTTCAGTACACAGGGTAGCCATAACTGGCAAGGTAACTTAGGTTTATGGCTGCTGTGTGTCAGCAGAACTGCGCAAAGCAGCCAGAGGGTACCGGTGAATCTGACCCTGTAACTTTTGAATGGACAGCCCCAAATGCAAAAGGATTGTAAGAAACCTGCTTTGGCTGTGAGACCCAGCCTTGTCCTCACACTGTTAGAGAAGGAAGTTTGGATCACTCTACTAACAATTGTAGGTAACATCAAGCCATTAGTACAAAAAGTAAAACTAAACATCATTCTTACACTTCACATACATCTCTGTCTACTCTCTTTAAACAGAAATGTAGTTTTAAAAGAAAAAGAATACATTTCAGGCTTTTAGGGTGTAGAGTCAATGAAGCTGCGAAGCTTTTTGTAGACCACACATCAACTGAAACCTCTCTGGATTAGGATGGTGTTGATGCATATACCAAAAGCATCAGGGACTTAAAATTGTAGTTTGCAAACTCGTGCATGGAATGTTTTCTTATGGTATGAATACACTCAAATGCAAGAGACCCAAACGTGTCAGCACTATCTCTGCATCAGGCTTTCCTGACATCACATCCTCAGCCACACTTTTCTGACTGCCTGCACTCTCATCTCCTGGCCCCCAGAGCCTAGCTGAGCATCTGGAAGCTGCTGCTGCTTTCATTGCTTCTGCACTGTCAGCATTTTGTGTGCTTGTGACGTCCCTCTGCCCCTGCGATAGTTGACCAAGCTACTTCAGGCTGAAAGCTGAGCAGGTAGCTGCCAGCATCCTTTCATTTTTACCAGCTGCATTTCTTTGGCTGGGCTAGCAAACAACATCCCCAGTTTGCATAATCGCTGCTGAAACACGGGACTCTACAGAAATTGGATTTGCACATGTCTCCAATGCAGACACCTACATTTTGGGATGGATTTTTTCCTCTTCAGTCAAAAGGAACAGGAATCTCAACATAGCTAATTAAATCTGATTTGTCTGTACAGATGTGCAGAGTGCCACTCTCAAATTGCTCATGATACAGAACTTGTTTTTCACATGTCAGATATTACTCAGTGGAGGCACAGAAACCCCTACTAATGTCAGCTCATTTCAGATTTTTTAAAGTGGAACAATATTCTTTCCAAGGGAAAAGAAAACTCTTTAACAAGTAAACATTTTTCAAAGATAGCACCAGCCCCCACATTTGTTATGTCTCACAATGGAAAACAGCTTGTAACTTATTTGGTAACAATCTTGCATAGTTTTCTTCCTAGGGCAAATATTCTCCACTGGGTAGAAACAGTTTCAGATGACCACAGTTCTGAATCCCAGCATGCACTTTCAGGTCTTAATAGTTGAATTGACTGCAATCCTTAGGCACTGGGAAAGATCACAACATAATATATACACACCAGTGCTTTTATGGTTGGTTCCTGTTTAAAGGCTAATCAGGAAAGAATAAGGCAAAACAAGGGTTCATTGTAAAGAAGTCCCTGTCACTTCCAGCTAGCAAAAGGCTACAGTGGCTCAGCATAAAATATCCTTTCTCTTCACAAAGCCCAGCTGTGATTTTGGAGCAGAAGCACCTCTTGCTGGCTCTGGTATACAAGTGGCAACATCCACCCTAGGATGTACATGGACATTATTTTTTATCTGTATTTCCTTCCATGTCCCCTTGCCTCAGCAGCATGGATAAATGAATGACAGTAGTGGCTTCTCTTGATTAGTCAGGAAAGATTATTGTAGGCATCAGCACCAAAATACCCACTTAGGAGAAATACCTGGCCATCCATTAGCCTGAAGGCATGAGTTTATATGAAAATTTATTTATTTCAACCTCCAGGGTAGCTAAAACTTGAGAACCCTGTACATATACTTTGTTATATATTTAAGAGCCAAACATGTTGCACAAGATAAGCTTCATTTTCCACAAAACCTATCTTCAAAGCAAACACTTCTCTTTTAATGTTATTAATATTTTCCTTCACCACTCTTTCCAGATTTCACTTGGACATACTTCCCATCTCCTAAGTCTTAACAGATCTCTGCAGACCAATCACAAATCAGGGGGTGGCTGAAATACCTGTTGCTGATGTACACTTCTTTATTTGTGATAACTTTACATCTCTCCTACAAGGGTGCAGCATGGGCCTTTCCTGGAGCTGGAGCCAGACCTCTGGTCTGAATCTGCGGCATGTTCCCTCCTGACAGCTCTGTGTGATGCTCTTGGGAAAGTGAGGGGCAAGGGGATTTATGGGTGGGAAGAGAAGCACGCTCCATGGAGTGGATGAGCTGGTCCCTGCCCCTAGCTGCAGGAGGAAGCTGTGCTGGAAGGCAGATGGATCCATTACTTGGCAACATTCCCAGTTCTCTACACATTTTCCCATGGGTCTGGCATTGGATCCAATGGCACAAAGCACCTGCCTCTGGTGGGAGCTGGCAGCTTGCTGCACCACTGTTCCCTCTCAGACACCCCCATCATGAGGAGTTGGGAACTACACAGCAGCTCCAGACCCTGGGGCCTCGTAGCAGCGGCCCAGAACTGCCAGTGCACTCGAGTAGCTCCATAACAGCCTGCTCCAATTCAAGGAGCAGACTTGCTGAAGATGGGGGGCAGCAAGTTTCCTGGGAGCTGGAAAAGGTGTTCCTAATAGCCCATGATATGATGCAGCAATTTTTAATTTTTTTTTTTTTTTTTTTGCCAGTATGGGGCACTGAAACTAAGGAAAGAGCAACCTTTCTTGTGCTATTTTTGGCCATCTTAGAGAGAAAAAAATCTAATCATGGCCCCTGGCTTGTCATCTTTTCATGAAAGCAGCATAAGCCAGAGCTCCCAGCAAGCCGTATAAAACTCCGGATTTACAGGGGACCTTTCATCTACATCCATTTAAAATGTTCCCTGCCAGGCAACTGACTATGGACGGAAATCATCATTTGAAAAGATCTTACTTTAAGGACTGTACACAGTCTCTTAAATGCTGCTTCAGTTCTTCATCCTTTTCATAGTATTCCAGCATGGTGTGTGCCTCATCATGGTGATAGCAATAGATTTTATATGTGTCTTCTAGTGGGCCTTTAATCTGCAAGAACACTTCCCCTGTTAAGGAGAAAAACAAAGCATGTCAAGTCAGACAACAGCATCTCAGAAGGAATTTTATTATTCCACCACATTAGCTGTGAGCTAAAAAGGCTGGCTTCCACTTTACTTCCCTTAGAAATGATCTTGTGTGTTTATGTGCATTATTTATTACATGTATTTCTCAGCTGCTCATCTTTGTCATAGCCAGGCACCATTATATCAGTGTTAATGCACAAAAATTCCCTCAGGGGAAAAGCATGAAATCTCTGCAACCCCCACCCCTTCAAACACAACCTCCTAATTCACTGCCCCAGCTTAATGCCCCTTCATTGGAAAACACACAGGAGAGCTTAACTAATAAAGGGAGACCATTTTTGTGTCATGGGCTGGCAGGAGGGATGAATGCAAGCCTGTTAGCTTTCCTTTTGACTTTTTTTCATGAATATGAACTTAAATGGGTAATAACAGGAATAATGACTCTATCTTCCATTAGCCATTTCAATTTTATCTGTTTTGCAAAACCTTGAAATGGCAATTGTTACGACCTAGAATAGAGAATTTTCTCCATACAACAAAAGAAAAACCTCCAACTCCCCCCCTAATTAAATGAAACCACCATGGATTACAGCCATTTTTATATAATATCTAGGTTTATATACAGCTGAAGAGGGAGAACACCTCCATCTTCAGTCCTCCACATCACCATTTTCCCATAATAAAGAACAGTTGGGAATTTTAGAGGCACTAAAGTAGTCCTACACTCATTTCCCATTTACTTTTGGAGCCTAATTCTCTCGGCCTAAAACTCTTGTGTCTGGTTCTGTGTATGTAAGAAATCTGAGCAGGGAGAGCATGCTTCCTCTCTTCTGCTGAGATATTAGCTCAGTTCTTACACAGTTCTGCAGCAGCCCCCTGATCAGCATCTTTGGAAATGTGTATAATAAACAACAGCAATGCTGAAAACTCCTGTCGGGCATTTACTGAAAATTATATCTATGTGGCAACCATTCCAAATAGATGTTTATAAACATTCCTGTTGAGTTACAGCAATGACTATTAAAGGTAAAAGCTGAACACTGCATTAATTGGGAGCTCTCTATTCATTCACAGAGCAAGCGCTGAGCTGTCAGGCATCCTGCATGCTTCATCCTGACCGGAGTGTGCTGTTCCATAATACATTGCATTGAACTGCTCCATCTTCAAGTGAAAAATGATTCAGTTACCACAGTAACACAGCCCTGGGTTTTCTGCCCTAGCAGCGAAGGTTAACTGGGCTGTCTAATGCACGTTGGTTTCAGGGTGCAAATAAGGGAAAAAACAATGAGGAGCTAAGACCACCACAGTACATTTTAGTTACTGAAAGGGCACAGTCAGAAAAGCACCAGCATCCTGTAGTTAAATGCTCTTCAGCTGTCTTCTCTGCCTTGTGCTTACTGCTAATGCTGATGGCTAACAATGCACATTACATCCTGGCTTTCCCATGAACTCTATGCAGGTCTTTATTAGCCACCAACCCAAGGGGAAACCTTAACAAGCCTCAGCCTTGATCCTGCATGCTTGGCACCCAATTCTAGAGATCATGAGCTCTCAAAATTTGCACTATCATTAAGCAGAGCTCCAAGTGCTTAGCATGGTCTGTGTTATCCTAAGCCCTCAAGTGAGGTCACATTTTCAGTAGGAAAAATGCAATGAACCCTTAGAGCTCATTTCAGTGTATACTACAGGCTGAAAATTAGCTTCTCCAGAAGGAAAGAGCTGGGCAAATTCTGTTCACTGAAGTATTGTACCACAGTGACAGATACTTCCATTGATGCTCAATGATGAGAAAAATCATGTGCTGATTTCATGAACAGGGCCTTTTAACAGCAGGTGGATTTCTAAACCTAAAGCCTGTCTTGGTTCTGAGCTGTACGAACCGAATCAGATGAGTTTTGGGCATATCACTGTGGGAGCTTGCTTTATGAACCAAAACCACATTGGATTTGGCACAGCTTTAAAAATATTCTGAGAGATGCAAAGCTCCTTGATGCCTCTTCTGGAGTTGGTCATCAGTCTCAAAGAGAAATTCCTAGGAGGAAGACTTGAGTAACAAAGCAGTTTCTCCCTGTTGCTCTCAGTGGTGCTTCCACTACAGGCAGCAATAGGAGAGGGAGGAAGGAGTCTAATAGCAAAAGCTAAGTCTTCATATTCCTCCATATACAGAGGAATGTGAAAAATATGTACTCAGAACAGAGAGGAGAAAAAAAATCACAGAAGGACTATAAAAGGTATTTAACCTATTTTAGCTCAGATTAGGAGATGGGTTTTGAAACCAGCCACTCATTAGTCCTCATCTCCCTGTGTGGTGGAGCAGTCACAGCGACGCAAACTGGATCCCTTTGAGGATGATAATTGACAGAAGACACACTCCAAGGGCACATCTTATGCAGTCCAGCCATCAGGGGCATCTCAACCCACAGGCACAGGCTACAGCCAAGCTGAAGTAAGACCTTGTAAAATGTGTAGTGTGGATACCATTTCCTTAGCAGAAACTCTCACTTTGCAAGTCTGCTCCTATTGGACATTATCACTTGTCAATGTGGACATAGGATAAAATGTGGAGAACACAGACTAAAATAAGACATGACTATGAACAACCACATTGTTTTGCTTTCAAAGCAGTGAATTATCAGTTCTTTTGAACCTCACCATGACTGGGTTCCAAAGTAAGATACTTCAATACAAGATTTTTAAATACATTAAACATGACAGAATATGATGAGTGTGCTTTTTCTATAGACTGGCTTCAAAAACTTTGACACTGAAGATCCTGAACACAAAATTATTACTTTGATGTACTTTCAGAGGACAATAAACCTACTAACTGCTTGTAGTGATGCAATTATTCTCCCTATTTTTGTCTCAGCCTTCAGAAGAATGTCTCACACCTTACTTGACAACCTTTTTCCTGTCATAAGTTAGCCAACTCTGTGATCAATGATCCCATGCATTTTCATGGTTCTTTGTCTCATTTGGAGAAATACACTCTAATAGAAGGATGAAATTGTTTGTCTTTACTTCTGAATGTGGCAGGGAACTAATAGAATGATTCTCTTGGCTGTGAGAAAGGCACTTCCTGATAGAATAGAACATTGCTTATTAAGAGTATGACTCATCATGATGCACTTTTACTGAAATACTGCCAAACAACACAGACGCATCAAACTACGTTAAGCTGTTGCCTTGGCAAACCAGATTGAGACGTGCTAGAATTAATACTTTTCCCAAGCCTCTCATGCTTTAATATCCTGTTTCTTAGTAAAGTGGCAACTGATATTTTTACCCAATTATTTGAGAAAACAGGGACAATTTTCATAAGGTGTTACCTGTGGTATGTGGTCAGGCTAGGAAAGAAAGAACCTCTCTTGACCTCTGGATCACAGCTGGAAATTTTTTAAACTAAACTGTCTGACTTTGCACTGAAGCAAATTCAGAATTCTCACCTGATCCCTTAAAGGTAACTCACCCTAAGGTGCCTCTGCACTGACAAAGCAGTCATGGGAGAGCTGATGTGTGCTGGTAACTTCTTAAATCTCTCCAGCTGTGCCAGAATGTCACATGAATCACTGCCTTAATGTTCATGACCTGACCTGCAGAACTTGTGGCTGTTGTGACATATCCGGGGCCAACCTGTTGGCTGAAAATACCTGTGATTCCTACAGACATTCCCACACAGAATCCCACAAACTTCAGACTCATTACATCTTTCTCTACTGTCCATGTCCCTGTCAAGCACATTTAACCACCTCCTACAGGAACTGTATTGCCAGTACATACATGTTTAGAGTGTTGGGATGGGTTGAGGTTTGACATGCTTGTTATTCCAAATATTTCTAATGCTTTTCCTGAATGGCACAACTCTGTATATGCAAAATAAGAGTTTGAGTCAGCACAAGTGGATTTAGGTAGGCAATATCAAACTAGATGAAACAGATCTTAGCAGTAATTTGTATAACTCATTGCAACAGGTTTTACTCATTCTAAACCCATTTTCTCCTTCCTCCCTTCTCCTCAGCATCCAGATGTATGGAAAAAAAAGCATCATCATCATACAAGTACAGTACAGCAAGTGGACAGGTTTCACATGTCATTTTGGACAGCCCCTAGCATGCCAGCCTCTGAGAGGGGTACTAGCTAAGCCTGATGAGAGCAGAGGACAGGAGAGTGTTATGTTTATTCTTTCACGTGGCTTTGTAGAACTCAAGAGGACAGTAAACATACCGATTATTTGCTTGGGTGGTTCCACATCTGTTGTGGCTTCTTCCAACAATGACAGCAGTTTGGCTGATAGCTGATGGACCAATTCAACATTGCTAAACAAGCCATCCACGTCAAAGCGAGCAATCTAATGGAATACAAATAGTAAGCAGATACTGACAAAGGATAAAGAAGGACGTTGTGTATTACACAGCTTCTCTTGCTATGCCCTGAGTGTTCAACACTCCAGGAAGCACCACTTCTGCAAAACCTCATATAAACATCCTCCTTGTGACTTCAAGGACACATACACAATTTTCACATTAGTATAATATGGCAAAGTGTATGTTATCAAGTGTTTTTAACCTTATTTTTAACTATCACGAATCTGAAACTGTTTACCTAGGAAGGAAATAAATATTATCATCTGAATAAAGAAAAGATCCTTAGCTGGCTTTGAAATGTTTGTTTACTTTCCCACTGGGGAAAACAATACTTGGCAGTAGGTTTGATTCCCTGATTACCACCCACTCTCAGAGGCCACTACAAAAACTGAGAGCTTGGCACTTTGGTGCCAGCTACCAGGTACAAAGACTCCAAGATAGCTGGTGCCATTTAAATTAGTTGTCCATTAAATCCAAAGTCAAGATCATATAACTTCCACTAAAAGAAACACATTTCTAATTTGGGATATTAATACAACCTAAAGAACTTCCTACAGAGCCTGGGCACACAACATGGATTTCAATGAATTGTATCATTTTCTACCAACAGAAAATTTGGTTCTGTGTCCCTCCTCATCTTACAGGAAGTAAATGATTTCCAGGACATGTACTTTTCATTTCACAGCAGGGCAATAGTTACTATTTGGGGATCATTGGAGATAACCAGTGGTAATGTGCTCACACTGAGAACAAAGACAAGACCAGTTTCATCACTCATATCAATACTCTCTGAGCCTACCTCTCCATTTGGAAGAGAACTGCTGATTTACATGGCAGCTTACCAGATGCCAGGAGGATCAAATTGCATGCTATTGTAACAAAATCAGAAATACACTTCCAGTACTGATGCAGTTAATTTCTTTATAAGTATTATAGGGGCTAAAACGTGTTTTATCCATTTGGAAATATGAAACAGATTCATTGCCTAGACCAATTTTCTAAATACATTATAAACTTCCAATATGGTAGTTTATTGGAGATCTAGCATTAAAAACATGTAACATTCCTGAAAGCCTTTCAAAAATGCAGAGGTTATTAGATTAAGACAGTTACAATCTCTAAATTACTTTTCCTGTATACATCTAGCACAGGACTTCTGACCTCCTCCCCAGCATGTCTACATAGTATTTGGAACTACATCATGCATGGACACTTCCACACATTAACGCAGTGGCAAAGGACAGAATCAAAAAGAATGTTTTTAGTTGGGTGAAAAAGAGTGACAGAATATAGCACTTTTGTCAAAAATCTCAGTGAGTTCAACCAGGGAATATTCTTGCTCCGTGCTGGCCAGGCTGGGGAGGAAGTCAAGTGGAGACTGCTTCTAAGTGGATGAATGAGTGAGGGAGGAAGAAGAAGTCAAGAACTCCTGAAGTTATGTCAGCTCTTCTGAAAGTGGGTTGGAGCAAATTCTGACACAGTTTTAGAAAAGCAAAGTTGTTTTTTTTTTTTTCTGTGCTGCAGAAGTTTTAGCAGCACAGGTTAAGAGGCACTGCCAATGTCACCTGATGACACTTTGGCCTCTGCATCTGCATTTTGTCACCACAAACCCTACACAAAGATTATGTGGATTAAAGTCTGTTTAAAATTATTTTTATTCTATTTCTGCAGCAGATATCATTTGTGCAGCCTCTGTTGAATGCTAGGCCTCACAAACACGAATCTTTGTCTGGACAATCTCCTCTATTTCTAGCACCATTTTCCTACAAATTGAAATACTGTTGAGGAAAAGGTGCTCTTTGAAGTCTCAGCTGAAAAAGAAAATAGGTATCATTGGCCTAATAAGGTCTTTTCCATGAAAGGTAGTTTATGAGCCTTTTTTCTTAAATGTACCTCTTTTGTGTGAAATACAAATATCCCAAGTCCTCACTGGCCTGTCAAGCATGGTATTTATCCACTACAACTGTCTGAAAGGATGAATAAAGTTATCTTAACCACTGAATTTAACCTTGATGCAGAGGTTCATGCCATTCCAGTCTCTACTGTGGGAAAAACCTTCATTTTGAGGTACCAGTAAGCATCTGCCGTGGCACGTAACAAGGGTTATAACTGCAGAGCAGAAGGGAGAGCTGGAAGCTGCTGCTGCAGCCCATAGGCAGGGATGTAATATCCAAGCTGACCTCTGGACAAGCACCTCGATGCAGGCTTTATGCAAGTTCAGCACAAGGGTTCAGGAGCATCTCTGACCTTCCGTGCTCCTCACTGCCAGAGCCCTGACACATCACATCCCGGAGCACTGGCTCCAGACCCGCTCCCAGCACCACATCACTCTCCTGCTGACACTTGGGCTTGCATGGACATTGTCTGCAAGCAGAATATGGCTGAGCTGAGACCTTGGCATCATCCCCTCATCCTCCACTCCAGCACTCACCTGCATGTTTCTCAGGGGCTGAATCACTTCCTGGATGCAGAGATCCAGGTCACTGATAAAGTCTTTCTCAGTCTGCAGGAGTTCTGCGATGATTTTCACCCTCCTGGCCATCATGCGTCGTCTGACTTCTTCTTCTTCTTCTTCTTCTTCTTTGTCCTCCTGCAGCGGGGTGGCAGGGGTTGAGGACACCGCCTGTGGAGCCATTTTTTCTGGTAAAAAAAGGAAAAGATTTGTGAGGAATGTCATAATTCCACACGCTCATCCAGCTTGCCCTGCATGACCATGGTGGTGGACAAACAGCCATGGCGAGCAGGAAAAGAAGCACAAGAAATGGCGAACCCAAATCAGACTGAGTGTCATCCCATCTCCTTCTTGTAAAAGTGGACAGGGGTATGCCCAAGCAACTCGTCCATGTGACATTAAGGGGATAACCCATCACCGGCTCCTCTGGTTTAGATGTTTGGTATCGGGCAGAAATTTTCTATGGAGCACAGGAGAGTCTAATTCTCGTCACACTGAAATTCCAGGATAGCTGATGCCCTTCTACTCCTTTGAAAACAGTAGTGGTCTGACATCTATTATGATTTGGAGGATGGAAAAAATGTGCTCCTGTGAAAGAAAAAGGCTGTTTACCATAAAAAAGCTTCACAATAATAACCTTTGTTCTGTACTATGTAACATTGAGTCTATTCATGGGAAATTGAGGACTGCAAGTACTGGATAACAAACTTTCAAGTGAAGACAATGTTACTAACAATGATGATGAATCTTCCAGCTCTGTTTAAAAATATTTTTTTGAAAGAGACAAAGGAATTCAAGAAGAATACGAGAAAACCTTTAATGATCAATAGCAACCATTTCTACAAACAACATAGATCATTGGGATTAGGACATTCTTCACTGCTTTTTGGTACTTAACACCTAGGATATCTGATTTGTCTCAAATACAGGAAAATGCAAGTGACTCTTCTACAGATGGGTAATTTATATACATTACAAGACCTGCACACAACCTACTTATCTGTAATGATGGTCTTCCCACTTGCTGGTTTGTAAGCCAGCCTGCAGAGATCCATGTCAGCTCTAAAAAGGGCACTGGCAATCCATATTTTTCATTAAAAAATACACACAAAATCCAAAAACGAAACCAAAAAAGACCCGAGTCAAAGATTTCAGAGGCTATTCTGGTGTTTTTCTGCTAGCCACAAGATGGTGCAGAGTACCAACAAAGATGGACATATCATTAGGGTGCTCAAGTCTGCATCACTCAGGCTGAGCTTTGACAGCCCTGGCTTTTATTGCTCAGCAGCAAAGGATGGGAATCTCTGCTGACAATCGACTGTACTCCTTCAAGTCAGCTTCTTGTACAGACTGTACTGAAGGAGGTAATAAAAAGCAGTATCAGGTGCTTTGCTCACTGATCACATTGCATTTATTTTAATTGATTGTTAAGGGTAAGGTCATGAGCACTCCAGTGAGCATTGAACAGTGCAACTGGCCTGTGCAACACCAGCCAAGGGGGTAGAGGAGAGCCCACAGCTGGGCCTGTGGGAGCCAAGCAGCGCTCAGGACAGAGGGCTTTGAGCCATCTGAAAACAAGAGGTGTAAAATACAATAAATCAAATATATCATCTTCACCCATACCTTCTACAATTATGCTGACCAGTGATACTCAGAAAGGAAAGGTTTTTGTTAATGACTCTCCCACCAGGTTTTCAAGTGAGACTGATGTGACCACAGATAGTTTTAAATAGCTGCTTTTGGGACAGCATGTCAGTCTCTACAGCACTAGTTTTAAACAATGAGGACCAAGAATCTAAACAAATCTGGGTGGGGGAATGGAAGGCAGAGGAGTAGGGGAGCTGTTTTCTCAAACATTTTTGTATTTAGATACACTTTTCAGCTTGGAGTTTTTAGCCTTGAAATTTGTGTATAACACAGGAATGAACATTTTGTCCTCGAGTTTGTACAGAGACAATGAAACAGAAACATGAAGAGAATGTCTCCCCTCTGCAAGGCCTTGGCTATCAAAAGAATTTAGGCTTAACCTTGCACTGATGAGTTCGTGCTGCTGCAGAGCTCATCCACCAAAGGTTCTGTGTGCTGAATATTACAGACTCTGCTTTTAGTGAGTAGGAGAGCAAAACTGGTACCAGTATCACTTCAAAGCTCCCTCAGAGAAATTTACTGCTAGGGTTGCAGAATGGGACCACCTTGCCTGCTGCTGACATGCTAAAGCAGCAGGTACTTTTTATTCTGAAAACTTACAGTATGTAACCACATTTATTAATTCACAAGGAACCATATGAACAATCCATTTCTATTTTACTTTTGCACCAAAATAATGATTTTTCTTTAGATTGAGTGTGAAACTGTTTGCATGCCTGCAACTCTGTGTGAAGAGTTCAGGGCAACTCCTGAGAAAGCACAGAGAGGAAGATCTCAGGAGTTTAGTTTTGTCTCAGACACAGATGTTATGATATCAGATGGAATTTTAAGGTAAACACGAGATGCTGTATAAAAAAACTTTCTAATCTTTATACTAGTGGCAGGGGAGGCCATTATATGAGCAAAACAAAGCCACTGTATTTCACTTCAGGCTGGAATTCACAATCCCTCGAGAGGCTGTTCTTTCAGTTTGTGTTATTAGATAGCCCTGATCAAATTTGATTCTTGAATTATGTCAGGGCTCATCTATTATCATTATTGCATAATAGATAATAATGCCGGGAAATAAAAATTATTCTCAACAGGAAGAAGTAATCATGAGAAATATCAGTTAGATGCTGTTTCCTTATAGAAAACATGTTTTTTAATAAATGTTTCCTTTAGTTAAATGTAATATAATTTTCCATTTTCACTCAATATGTTCACTTTTTCATTTCAGGCATATCTGTCTCTATAGAATGCAACAGCAAGGTCTTGAAGTGATGATTACAGCCAAAATGTATGATTTCATGTTCAGCTGATTGCTTTTGACCAGTTTGAGAACATTAGTAGTTTACTGAAATCCTTGCGGAGTAAGTGCAAGTTTAATGAATGCACAAACAGTGAGAGCATATCTGGAATATAATCAGACTCATTTATACCTGGTAATGTGTACCAGCCCTGGAACAGTTGAAGAGAGGATTAGCAGGAAAAGACATCGTTGAGGATTAACTGCTACAGTAAGAATTTGACTCATTTGTCCTCAGAGATACCAGGTATAGAGAAATGAAAAAATAGTCTATTGAATAGATTGTTAAACCATTGCATCTTAAATCCAGTTTACAAAAAACTAATTGATACTTTTACTGGACATAAGAATATAAAGTAGAAGGCAAAGTTTGTAATTAATGCTTTTGTGATGTCAACTATCTGCAGGAGTTGCCTTTCTGGAGGACATTCCTTTGGAGATGACTTAAGTTTTTCAACTGTGTATTGAAGTACATGGCTCTAGTTGCACAAAACAAGAGGTTCATTATGTGATGACAAGGACAAAGAAGCCATATATCTTACAAAAACAATTTCTTGCAAGGGTGAAGTCTAAAGATGTCCCCCAGATGGAGACATCCCACAATGTGGTGAGAGCATGGAGGAACAGAGCTTGCAATGATACTGCACACAGCAGCTCTCTTCTAAGCCCCAGGCAGGTACTGGGGGACTGTTCCAATCTGCTTAAAGGGAGGACAGGCAGGTTTGCCTTAATCTACAACTGCAGAAAGGAACCAGGCTCAAAACATACCTGAAAGTGAGATTAAAACATAAACGACGTTAAATGTTGGGATCCAGAGCGATAACGCGGCTTTATTTTTCATAAAAGAGGGAAGAAAGAGAGAAAAGCAGAAGAGTAGGAGAATGCCAGATTAATTACAAGAAGCACAGGAAAGGGGTTACCACCGCCATGGGTCCAGCGCTGGCTGACAGGGTGCGATGGGGGCGATCCGTGCGGGTGCAGGGGGTCCTTCTCCGGTGAGGCCTCTCCCAGAGGGGCCCAGGGACCCAGCAAGGGAGCAGCGCCACAGCAGCAGGACCAGACCGGGATGGGGAGCATGGGCAGCCTCATTGGAGCAGCCAGGACAGCACAGACAGCAAAGCTTCCAGCACAGGGTAGATGTTTGCAGCACAGCCCCCAGTGACAGCTTAGGCGTTTGCTTTTTTTAGAGGGTTTTGAAAGAGGCAATGGTCACATCCACTTCACAAAGTTCATTGGCTGGCTCCCTGCTGTATCAAAAAGTTTGCTGCTTGCTCGCTTAATGTATCAAAAGTTTGCTGCTCGCTGCTCTGCTGTAACAAAAGTCTGCTGCTTGCTTAATGTATCAACTAAAAGCTCTATGAATAACTTTCAATAGGATGCCTCATTTTCTAAAATAAAGTAGTTTCTAAAGTTTTTGTTAAAGGTGACTTAATACTTTAATTTTCAAACCTTAATCTTAGAAGAGGTGATGGAGAAACATTCCTTACATTTTACTCGTTCATGACAGGGATCCACAGCAAGGGACTGGAGGAGCAGCCATAGCAGGGCTGCAAGATCTCTGTGCATAAATCTCCCTGGTTTTCCTGCCTGGACAGTGAGCAGCTCCAAGAGTTCTGTTCTATCCATCCTTCCTCACAGGTAAGATGCTCTGAACGGATATTACGTTTGCTCTTGGTGTGGGGACCCAGATTTCTCCCCATCCAGTTCTTTCCATGTGGAACCAGAGGAACTAGCACAGAATACAGGAACAAGTACAGTGATGCTGGTGTGTGGAGTGAGTTACAGACCTTTTTGTTACCCAGGCAGCATTTGAAAGATGCCAAAGGAACGTGAGTTCTGCACTCACACTGTGCAGATACAAGGATTTTGCCTGGCACAAGGGACTGGTGAAGGCAGAAGTTATCAAGGTATAACAAACAAATTACAAATGACTGTGTTTTCACATGTTAAACATGAGTTTTGTATCACCCTGGATAAATTATTCCTCTGTGAAAGCAAGTCCTCAGATAGCCTTTACCCTCAGATAACCTAGCAATTACACAAGGGAATGTACACCGACTTTTATCAGCTGGATTTGGGAATGAAATGCAGGCAGCCAAGTCCAGAGCTGTGGCAGCTTTCCTCTCCTTCCTCATGCTGTCGCTCTGGCTCTGTTTTCTACATGCCTGCATCCACTGCAGGAGCTGGGAAGGCTGCAGGACACTGAGACACTGGGATCCATGGGAGTGAGGGAGCCTGAAACAGGACAGGCAG